AAAAATATAAATTAAGTCACTCTGGTCTAATGTCATTTAAGGCCACTGTTTCCTTGATTTTCTGTCTGAATGATTTACCCATTGATGTCAATGGGGTGTTATAAAGTTCCTTCCTATGACTGACTTATTAATGTCAATCTCTCCCTTTATGTCCATCGATATTTCCTTTACATATTCAGGTGCTCCTAAATATGTGAGTGTGTACATGATTACAAGAGTTATGTCCTCTTGTTGGATTGATCCCTTTATCATTATGAAGTGCCCTTTTTCAACTCTTCCTATATATAGCTTTTGTTTTAAAGTGTGTTTTGCCTGATATTAAGTATTGCTGCCTTAGCATTTATTTCCACTGCATGAAGTATCTTTTTCCGTCCCTTTATTTAGTCTGTGTATGTCTTTCAGTCTGAAGTAGGTCTCTTGTGGGCAGCATATGTACGAGCCTTGTTTTTTAATCCATTCAGCCACACTATACCTTTTGATTGGAGAATGTAGTCCATTAAAGTAATCATTGATAGGTATGTAGTTATTGCCATTTTATTAACTGATTTGTTTTTGTAGTCCTCTGTTCCTTATTCTCTTGCATGTTGATGACTTTCTGTAGTGTTGTATTTGGATTCCTTCCTCTTTCATGCTTATATCTCTCTTGTAGATTTTTGGTTTGTGGGTACTATGTACTTCATCTCTACCAAGCTATGTTTTTAGCAATCTATTTTAAACTGATGGTCACTTAAGGTGAAGCATATTCTAAAATCAAAACTATTACTCCCCCGTCCATGTTTGTTATGGTCATTTTTTACTTCTTGTGTGTACATCCCTTATTTTAATTACACATGATTTTCCTGTTTTTGCCTTTTAACCTTTGTACTAGCTTTATAGTTTATTATTCCATTACTTTTATTATGTGTGTGCCTTTGTTGGTGAGAGTTTTTTTCTTTGGTAGATTTCCTTTTTTTTTAATCTTAAAGAAGTACCTTTAATATTCATTTCTTGTAATACTGGTCTAGTGACGATGAACTCTTTTAGCTTTTTCTTGTCTGGGAAGCTTTTTCTCTGTCTTTTGATTCTAAATTATAGCCTTGCTTAGTAGTCATCTTGGTTGTAGGTCCTTGCTTTTCAACACTGAATATTTCATGCCA